GGGACATGACACACTGCGGCTGTTTGTCCCCAAGCCCTGCCAGCCCTGGCCACCGTGCCTCAGTTTACACCACCTGCCCCATTTGTGCCACTTCCAAACCCAGCTTGGACTTTTTGCAGCCCATGGCGGGGGAAAATGTGGAGTTTCTGGGGAGAGAGGGGAACTGAGGCACGGGGGCTGCAACACCGGCGGTCGCCGGAGGGGTTGGCCAAGGTGTTTTGGGGACCTGGATGGGCACGGCCCTAGGGCAGGGAACAGCACCATGGCCTCGGGCTATAGGGGTCTTAGCAGCCCCCAGGGCAGAGGACAGCACTTTTCCCTTTGCCCTGTCCCATCCTCCCTCCCTTTCCCTTTTCCTTTTGTTCTCTTCCTCCTTTCCTTTTTGCTTATCCCTTTCCTTTTTGCTTTTTCTTGCCTTTTCCCCTCCTTTCCTTTCCTTTTTCCCTTCCTTTCCTTTTTCCCCTTTCTTTTCCCCTTTTTCCCCTTTCCTTTCCCTTCCTTGGTGCCTGTTGGTACCAGGCTGCTCTCACCGCTGGGACCAGTCCCATGTCCCTCCTGGTCCGAGTCCACACTGACCTGGCGGCTCCCGTCCTTTCTGGGCGAAGGGGAAGAAGGTGAGGAAGAGGAAGACGGCGGCACAGGTGAGCGAGGCCGACAGGAGGAGCTTGGAGGCCTCCAGGGAGAGCTCCGGGAAAACCCCCATGGCTGCCCCGAGGCATCACGGGACCAGCCGTATGGGGACAGCTGGAATGGGATCGGCTGTAACAGGATCAGCTGTGCAGGGACCGGCTGTAATGGGATAGGCTGTGCAGGGACCGGCTGTAATGGGATCAGCTGTAACAGGACTGGCTGTGCAGGGACCACATTATAATGGGACCGGCTTCACGGGGACCCTGCAGATGGGGCTCCAGGGGTGGCACTGGCCCACAGTGTGACCCCCCAGCGGGGTGTCCCCTCCATAGGGTGTCCTCTCCATAGGGTGACACCTCAGAGTGAACCCCCCCTCCCATGGGGTGACACGGCCATGTAGGGTGACACTCCCCAAGGCAATCCCCACACATTGGGAGCCCTCCATAGGGTGCCCCCCATAAGGTGACACCCTCATGGGCCCCCC